GAGATGGCCATACGAATATGGGATTTTGAATTTCGCGCGAAGATAGCCCCGAACTTGGTCAACAACCAATCAACAGGCGAAGCAAGTACGATGCCTCCAGAAGGTCACACGATGGCACCCGAACCACACACGAAGGCAACAAGAAGATGAGAATTTTTATAGTAGTTTATACCCGCAGGACACACGAAGGCCACGCGATGGCTACACGACGTCGTATTGAGAGTACGATGCGTTCGAACTAGGTCTCGAAGGCGTCACATGACCTCCCGATGGTATAAAACCTTCGGCCGACCGTGGGAAATTCAATTGCTGATTCAACTTTAACATGCCACCCAAGGCAGGGGGAGGCAAAGGGAAAAAGCGGGCTGTTAAATACAGAACTCAGAAGAGGAAAGCAGAGGAAACTGATGATTTAGATGTCCAAGAAGACACCACTGAGTCCCCAACCAGAGAGAGAAAGGCCAGCCAGCACTTCTACTCAGGGCTACGAACCTACTCCTCGCCAGGCTGTATTCTTCCAACTTCCTTCTCAGCCTCCTCAGCGGCAAATATCACACAGAAACTTGAGCTTGTATATAATAAAAATGGTCACTTTGTTCTTTTTTGGGGTCCGTTATCCTTACTTTACAAATCCTTTACTTATTTTAATTTCTATGTATTTCAATCAAAATTTCAAAAACAAAATGTATTACTCCATACACATTTTGCTTTAAACTACAATGCAATATGTGAAAATAATTTGTTTATCATCACAATGTTAGTGTCTCTGTATTCATTTTACTGTCACTGCTTTGTGGGAATAATTACATGATAATCTTGTCCTGCCATGGCACTGAACCAGCCTTTGAGGTAAAGTAGTGGCGCAGGTATCTTCTAATTTGCCTCCCCTCCTGGGTTCCAGTGTATCTTGCCCTCTCATGGTAAACAACCAGAAGTACTTTGTCATTTCTCCATGCCCCTGGGATGACATTCTGGTTCTGGTCCTCCAAGTCCATCAGGTTGTTGTGGGTGGCTGGATATCTCAGTCTGATGAGATTGTGAAGGATCACACAAGTTGTAATGATTTTTCTGCATGTCTCTGGCCTCTGGTTCATAGTCCTAAGCAAAACTTGGAACTTGTCTGCCAGAATGCCAAAGGCATTCTCCACTACACGCCTGGCTCTGGAGAGTCTGTAGTTAAATATTCTCTCATGGTGCTCCATGTTTCTGATTGAAAACGGGTGCTACTATGTAGCATGGGACAGGAACGTCATCACCAGGTAGAGACTTCTCTTCAGGAAGATTGAATATGTTGTTCGGACTCTCCTGGCCTTCTTTCAGTTCTGACCCCTTGTAGATACTGGCATCGTTGCTGGAACCATCAGAGCCGACATCAATCCATAGAAACTTGTAGTCTGCGTCGACCAGGGCCATGAGGACAATGGAGAAGAAGCCCTTGTAATTTCTGTACACAAAGCCAGTATTCCAAGGACAGGTGACCGCCACATGCTTGCCATCCAGAGCACCACAGCAGTGTGGAAATTGCCATCTCTTCTCAAACTGCTCAGCAATGGCGATCCACTCTTCAGTTCCTCATCGTAGAGGCCTCTGGGAAGTCTTGTGTAGTTGTAGAAGGCCTTCTCATCTTCTGTCTTCAGCTCATTTAGTAGAGAGCTATAGTGGCCATAGCCTTCTCTTCTTTTGTCAGACAGCCATTTCCTGACCCACATAGACCTCGGTTTCCTCTTTCGCCTCGGTTTGCCCCTGCCCTGGAAAATATAAAGCAAAACAAGATAAGTACATTGTCGAATGCTAGAAAGGCAAATAGCAAGAGGTGAGGTGAAATGGGGTTTAACGTCGCGTACAAGATTATTGCACCTATATAGCGACGTGCATGTACGTGTGTGTGTGTGTTTGTGTGGTTGCTTGTACTAGTCTGGACTGATGCCGATTTATAGTGCTAGATCACTGAGATACCATGCCGCAGTTTAACATGAATACCCCACTCAGACACAGTATACTGACTCCGAACCGACCAGTCCTTGTTTTAGCCCGTTAATGCCGAGCGCCAGACAGGGAAACAACAAGTACCATATTTTAACGTCTTTTGGTATGATGCGGTCGGGGATCGAACCCCTGACCTTCCGCTCTACCACTAGACCACGGACTCGGTGCAAATAGCAAGAAATGACAAAGTGAAATGAGACAATTTTTACCTGTAAGAGGAGGTGCTTGGCCTGTAAGAGTTGCTTATCACGTTCTCTGAGGTGCATCAAAAGAAGAAATGCTGCTGCCTTTTTTTTCCTGGTTGTCACATCATCAAAGTATGCTATTCTGCAGGAACTGAATTGTGATTAATTGTGATTGAAGCTTTGGGAGTTACACACGCCTCTGCTCTGTAGAGTTGCTCAGGACTGACTGAGGGAGATGCTCTGAGGCTGGCCTTTTACATGTCCACGTTACCATGACACATGGGAAACGCTTGAGATACTCAAATTCGGCTGTCTTCGCCGACACCCTGGTCCCATCTCGATGTCATCGTACTATAATACGATGGCTACACGACGGCATTGCGAGGGCTTCACGTAGTCGTGTTGCCTTCCTAAGACAATCGGGCAGCTTCTTGTTTCCTTCGTATTGTCTTCGTGGGCTAAAAATGCCCATGGCACCGATGATCACACGAAGTAAAGACGAAGATGACACGATTTGACAAGATGCCCTCACGATGGCCTTACGAAGGGCAAAATGGACACACGAATTCAAAACGAAAATGAACCTTCGCGAGGTCTTTCGGCATTTTTTTGGCATGCCAAAGATTTTGCCACCGCTCACGAAGTTGCTGCCGGAGCCTGAGACACTCCACCGGCGGTCATACGATGGCTTAAGATGCCCTCACGAATGGCCCGATTATTTACGATCAGAGCCGAATTTGAACATTTCCTTTATCGTGTGTCCATCTGGTGTCAATTTCGGGACAGTGTGACGCCTGCATTAAGGTTAAACAAAATCACGGACACGTGGTTACACTTTCCCAAAAGTTTTAGTGGAATTAACATTAAACTTGGTATATATATTTTCTAGGATAGGGACCTGCTTTGAAAAGGTTTAGGTCATGATAAATCCAAGGACAACATCAGCGTTCAGCTTTTTGTAAAAGGGTCACAATTATTTTCTCAGCTCTTAGAAATCTCTGCTAAAAGCACAGTCCGTGTTATCATTATACAATATAGCATGTGTTATGAATCACTATCAAATAGTGATGATACCAGGTGTTTATAAAATGGTGAGCGTATCCTGGCCCACTGTTGACGCCCGTCACAGACATACAACGCATCTCATTAACACGGGAACATATGGTACACGTCAAATTTGGGAATTGGGCACTGTATAAACAAGAAGTTATCGTGTTAACTAAAATGCCCCACAACTTACCTTTTTTTCAAAAGTTAGATGATAATCTGGTAATTAATTTATATCGGCCTAATCTAGGAAGGGTAGAAGTATGTTGGTGTCGCTCTGTGTTTATTGGATGTTGCGACGGTGTTATAGCTTCTTGGTAAGAACTCTAAATCTTTACAATGTATAAAGAAAATATGATAATGACAGTTTAGTGAATATTTTCATTTTAAAAAATCCCCCATATAATCAAAGGTTTACAGTTTTGTGTGTTTCTTAAAACATTTTGCAGTTGTATGTTATACACTTATCTATACAACAATTATTTCTTAATCTTGAGTGGATGTATGTAAATATATAGATATGAGAATGACTGCTCGAAATAAATTAGTATTAGTACGTTAGTATGTTATGTACCAGGCAATCGGCGCATGAAGTTTATTTTACAACAACTGTTAATTATTCTTTTTTATCATACCATTCAAGTTGTTTTTGCATGATTTTACTTCTCAAACGAAATGGTCGAATCAAAACCCGTTCGCGACCAAACCACTTCCATCAAGGCTCAACTACAAGTTTATAGAAAATAGTTCCAATTTTACGGAAAAGTATTAAAAAAATGGTCCTCGCGAGCTGGGATGGTTTGTAATGACTAGGAAAATGTATGCCAGTATGATATATGTCCATTGTGAGCATCTGAAGGAATAGAGTATGCAAGTGCAATATATGTCCATTGTTAGCACCTGAAGGAATAGAGTATGCAAGTGCAATATATGTCCATTGTTAGCACCTGAAGGAATAGAGTATGCAAGTACAATATATGTCCATTGTTAGCACCTGAAGGAATAGAGTATGCAAGTACAATATTTGTCCATTGTTAGGACCTGAAGGAATAAAATATGCAAGTACAGTATATATCCATTGTTAGCACCTGAAGGAATAGAGTATGCAAGTACAATATATGACCATTGTAAGCACCTGAAGGAATAAAGTATGCAATGAAATTAGAACAGTCGCTATATTTTCCAACAACTGATCAGCCCCATATGTAAACATTGTGCATATGTCATCAACGAAAAATGAACCATACAAAAAATAATGTTTAGAAAAACATAAACAACTACCAATAAGTGCCAAGTGTCTTTCGTCTATGGTTCTTTTCATGCCATGATGTCAGTTGTTGCAGTGAAAGTATATTATATATATCATATTATCACAAGAATGAGAGTACCTTTTATCGTCATTCGTTTGAGATTTCCAATTGTATAAGAATATTATTGAGCCAATATCGGCAGAAATATTTAATGCCAAGCATAAGCATCTAATTTTATTGCAATCAGTTGGTGACCGGGAATGGGTTAAAAGACTTTTACAACCTGAAAAATTATGATTAACAATATTATTAACAATATGATTAACAGATTGTATGGAAAATGAACAAAGAGAAACTTCCATGGACATTTCGAGAATGAAGACCATTTTCTGTTATTATTCAATGACTTGATAGGTTTTAATTAAAACACAGATCGTTATTTGACTTTAATGATTACAAATGTGTCCATGTCATTGCTATCTTCGAAACTAACCAAAATATCCTTAATGTGATTTGACTTTGTATTTTAAAGAGAGGGAACCACTGTTTGGTCGGATCACCGGCAGTGATAGTGTGGACACACTGGTGCGAGTTGGCATGGAGAAGCAGCATGGACTCTGTCCAGACTCCAAGATGGTGACGGTTCGCGGCTTCACGGCGTGTGCAGATAGAGAGCTCAGCCTCGACCAGGGCCAAGCAGTTTACGTCTTGTACAAGGAGAATGGTTGGGCATATGTCCTCACAGAAGATAACAGAGAGGGTTTTGTCCCATTGTCCTATATAGCTGCGTGTGCCAGTTCCAATGCTTGTAGGTCCGTTTCTCCGCCCCTGCAGGATGTGTCCGAAGAGCTGACAGTAAGAGAAACGGACCCATTCTCTATCGCGGCGGTGTCTGAGTCTCGGTCATCTGATTCTCAAAGTAGCATTTTCGCCTACCGGAAGCAGTCATACGGCCGCTATGTAGTAGTGTTCGACTTCAATACCAGCGAAGAGAATGACGTGAGTGTCGAACGTTGTGAGCTTGTCACTGTGGTCAACATGGAGGACCCCGACTGGTACTGGGTCGTCAGAAGCATGGGAGAGGAGGGATTCGTACCAAGATCCCACCTCTGTCCTTTCCCCGCCGACCTTGCCTTCAAAGAAGAGATATCAGGCACTATGTCAACAGTATCCTCCCATTGTTAGGAATGACGCCTTTTGTAACACAATGATCTGGAATGTTGAATAATTTGACATTAAATCGTGAATTCATTTATTTGATTGTATTTCACAAAAGTCTGATCCTACTTGTAATAAGTATTTAGCTTTACCTCCAACGTTCACGTTTGTACATGTTCATTTTGTGACAGACATACAGTTTATTTTGCATGAGACCCATGAAGATCCGGGCTAGAAAAGGTCTTCAGCAACCCATACTTGCCGTAAAAGGCGACTAACGGGATCGGGTGGTCAGGCTCGCTGACTTGGTTGATGCATGTAATCGTATCCCAATGGCGTGGATCGATGCTCATGATGTCAATCACTGGATGGTCTGGTCCAGACTCGATTACTTACAGACCGCTGTAATAAAGCTGGAATATTGCTGCGTGCGGCGTCAAACAACAAACAAATAAATAAATAGTTCGCATGAAGCCCGTCAAACTCATTGTAGAAAAAAGGTTTAGAAGTACGTTTTAGAGAGAGTTATTTCTTAAGGGAAGATAAACAAGTGATTTATCTTACTGTGAAGATAAAATTCTGGAACCTGGCAATATTTAACATGACATTACCATTTGTTGACTGACATATTCTTTGTATATACTAATTATCAATACAGTTTTAGGAATTGAATATTTCCACTCACTATCGTAGAGCACACAGTGATACATCACATGTATTTTGCATTCAATTACATTACAATGCTTGCACACAACTGGATACCAAAGGTGTTATGACCACTTCTAAATTTAGTTAGCAGTCATAAACTCTTTCACCCAAACTTGTGCAGGGGGCACGGGTGGCCCAGTCGTCTAAGGCGCCACTTTGTGCAGAGTTGCGTCCCTTGGGCACGCCAGAAACCTATGATTGTGGGTTCGAATCCCGGTTCGCCCCGATTATGTTTCTAGGTTTGTCTGCACCATACCCGTGCTCGTGGGTTTCACCGAAGTGGTAAACGTCTGAGACCTGCATCACTTCGGGCTTTCCTCCCACATTAAGCTGACACGCCGCAATATAACTGGAATACTGTTAAAAGCGGCGTTAAACCAAACTCACTCACTCACTCACACCCAAACTTGTGCAAAATAGACGAGTGAGTGAGTGTGGTTTTACGCCGCTTTAAGCAATATTCCAGCAATATCACGGCGGGGGACACAAGAAATGGGCTTCACACATTGCATAAACCAGACGAAGCCAAATCCATAAAGACATAGCAAATGTTTTACATAAGATGCCCATTTAGGGCGTTTTCTGTCTGCCGTTTACAATAACATTATATTACATTCAGATGGATATCTACTTGGGTGCATTTGTAATATTTTGAGCCAGTACTTAATACATTTAATGTGATACATAGTATGCAATGAAACTTTACCACATTATCCATGGGTTACTACATTGTCTATACTCTCTCTTTTTTCAAAACCGCAGATTTCTGCTTCATGTACGGTTATGTAGCACGTGCAATACGTGTTTGCCCTGTTCCTTCTACTGTTGCGGAAGCGTCCAATTATGTACCTACATGTTCCCTAATCAATCCAGATACTTCAGGATATCGTTTCTTCACTTATTTTCGGCACTACAATGTCAATATTGAGGGGAGAGACAGCAATTATTCCCCTCTGTCAAAACCACTGTCTTTCTGGTCAAGGGCGGGATGTATGTGTCACAATTCAATTCATACTTGATAGCTGAGACACGGAACAACATCCATTTGGTATATATCTCTGTCAGCATGTGTCAGGTTTATAGCTGGAATATTGCCGAGTGCGGCGTAAAACAACAAACCAACAACAACAACAATTTGTTACTATTCTGGGTTTTTTTAATCTTGATGTCCCCAACCTTATAATAATATAATGTTGGCATGAACAGCTCACCTTACTTGTGATTTGCCGGGTACCCTGGGCCCTGGCACATGCAGCCCCCGCAATTACTGTAGGGGAAGGTCATATGACTGTTCTCTGTTAAAAAAACTACATGTGCTTGGGGCCCAGCATACACAATGCCGGGCAGCCTAGATACCACGTAACATCTAATTTCTTATATTCACAGGTATTTTGAGTGAGCATAGAGTGAATGCTGAATTATAACAATTGCAAGTTATAGCTGTTTTATTTAAACATGCAATAGTTTATTTTCAAGTGTGAAGTATATCATAGATGCTTCTAAATATTACTTGCTTTGATATTAGAAGAGCCACATGCCATGGGAAACATGCAAAAGTTAGTATTTTGCATTTACAATTGCTTGATATACGATTTAGTTGCTACTTCTAAATTTTTAAACTTACATGTTGAATTATTGTTATTGTGTTAATTACTGGTTTAATTAACTGCATGGTCTGTGTGATGACACAGCATACCAGACAATGTAGCTGCCACATAACATTTCATTTGTTATAGTCACAGGTATTTAGAGATACTGAACTACACATCAGCCCGGCGCACCATCTGTTTGTTGTTCCTGCGACATACATATCAGCCCGTATAGTTTCACGTGTCATAGTAGATGTGACTGATACTTTGGCTACAAGGAAGAATGAATGCATAAAATGGCCAGCACAAGAATGTTGGATATGTCAGATCCAAGATGGATATTTCGCCATTGGTGATTTTCCAAGTGTCTGAGGATGCAGCGTACAGGCAGTGTGTGACCAGGAAGGTACACCATGTCCCCTTTTGCAATTAGAGTAGCTTCCCTTCGAAGGTGTATGATAGTACGTATATGACGATTAATGGAAGGCTAGCGTGAATGTTGTCATTACTCTTAATAATACACACGGGACGGTCTAACTTAATAGCGGAATTTTTCAACTTAATTTTAAGCAGTGTAAAGAGTCCGCAATTTGTTTATGAAAGCTGAAATCATTTCCTTTTATATTGAATAAATTTATGCCTATAATAAAAATACTATTAATCACTTCTGAATTTATGCTTAGTCCAAGTTGCAGGTAAATGTAAGCATGTGTGTGCTAATTGGCCGGGATGCACACATGCACACACACACGCACACACACACGCACACACACACACACACACACACACACACACACACACACACACACGCACGCACGCACGCACGCACGCACGCACGCACGCACGCACGCACGCACGCACACACACACACACACACACAGTGTGAATAGAGGGATCGGACATCAGGCACATGCCAATCAATATCAGGTGGCTTTTTATTACTTGCCCGTGAAGAGATCGCCTGTTTAATAAACATACAGCTGTATTACACATTGTGTAATACAATATCGCATGCTTATGGCAAGACGTTTTCACATTTATTACGGACTTACTGATATCTTCAATTGTTTTAAAGATATCGGCATTCTATTTAAAGATCTTACTGATGTTTTTTAGATATCAAAAAGTAATTTAAGATATCTTGAATTCATTTCTGAAATCCAAAATACAATTACTGATATCTTAAAATGTTACTGTGATATCAACAAAATATTTCTTGATGTCTCTTAATGTATTTAAGATATCATTAAACAATTACCATCCTACTGTACATAATCATATGAGAAATAAATTCAAGATATCTTAAATTCAATTCAATCATTAATTCATTTTATAGATCTTTAATTCAATTTGAGATATCTTTAATTCAATTCAAGATATCATTAATTCTGACCATTATTGATATCAAAAATCAAATTAAAGATATCATTAAAACTTTTGAAGATATCTTTATGTCAATTGTTGATATAATAATGTAATATAATTTAAGTAACGTGAAGGAATTATTCCGGTCCCCAAAGTGCGGGAAATGATTTACATATATCTTCAAATACTTCCGATCTGGCTGCCTATCAGTAAATTCTTCCGGCGGCAAACCATGCCCAACTTGTGCAGGGACTATTCTCAACAGCATGCCAAGCAATTCGCGGAGGAGTTTAGGGGACAGCAGTGATCATTTTGAAAACATGGCAAATCTTTTCAAGATATAAGTAATAAGCTTCACCATATCCTTAATTCAGTTCGTGATATCTTACATTGTATTGCAGATATCTACAATCATCTGTATTTAACATATCTTCAAATCAATTCAAGATATCAGTAATTCCGTAATAAATGTGAAAACGGCTTGCCATACGTGCTTATGTACTGCGGGAACAAGTTCCACTAACGACCATTGAAAGCTCTCAACATCCTTTGGCATGGCATGTGGAGATGATAGATCACAGAGAGGAGCTTATGCACGCTCAATTATCCCAGCAACCTTGTTGCTAGGCAGACGTCACATGGCATTGTTTCGCCGATGGATCTTGCAACAAAATTCAAAATCGGGTAGTTATTGTAAACTTTGTGGTGCAGGGCCCTGTTCCACAAGGCGATCGTACTGTAGCCCAACGACAGTCTAAGTGATACGATTACTTTGTGGAACGGACGCATGAATTCTAAAGGCGGGCGGTTGTATGGTATTAAATTAATATGTGTCAACATTTTACGTGCTTGAAGTGTTTTTCTTTTAAACTCAATTGGATTACGTTGAGGATCGTGAAGGTGTCTGCCAATTGATACACGACAGTGAAATTCTAAAAAAAGTTATAATTGGCAAGAAATAAATAAAATACTAAACGAGCTCCAGTGTAATACCAAATTTATGAAACTCGTGAATAGTTCTGGTATCTGACTCGCTTTCGCTCGTCAAATACCAGAACTATTCACTAGTTTCATAAAATTGGTATCACACGGGAGCTCGTTTAGTATTCTATATGTATTGGGAGACAATGGATACCCTAGCAGGCCTTTTTCTCCCAACCCCGTACATGCCCCCCCAAGGCAATGCTCAGCAGAGATACGACAGCTTGTGCGCTTCATGAGTTACAAAAGAAAGAACATTTGGTGGATGGAAAAGATAGATGTCATGTCCTTCATTCTGAGGTAAATATGCAGAGAATTATTGTGAACATAATTTGACATTTTATACTTTTCAACAACTAGTGTATTCAAATGCTCACAAAAAGAAATGTAAAGTCCGTTATGCATAGATCACACTGCAGAAATAAATATTCAAAGAATCCTAACTAATATATAT